ACAAATATTAAACTGCCATGGCAGCTGCTGTGTGACTTAGCTTAGCAAATGGCACTGGCACATGGTACTGGCAGCTGACGTCAGCCTGCAAACAGTGTCTGGTACCTGTGTACTGGCCTGCCTGAAAAACTGCAGAACTAGGATTCCACATCTGGTTCCTTGTCCAGAACTTTTTTTTAGGTTTCTCAGCCCCTGTGTTTGGATATTTCAGCCCTACATTGGGTGCCATATGTAAAGAGTCTTTCTTTGTCTGCCAGCTAGTTCCCCAATAATGATACAGAGACTTATATTAATTATGAAAGTTTGGCCTATAGCTTAGGCTTGTTTCTGACTAGCTCTTATATCTTAAATTAACCTGTATTTTTTTAATCTACGTTCTATCATGTGGCTTTTTTTTTTTTCCTTTCTTTCATTCTGTACCTCTAACTTGTTCTGAGTCTCTGAGTGTCTCCTATGCATCTATATTCTTTCTCTCTTTCTCTGCCTGAAAGTCCCTCTTATCCCTTCTACCTAGAAGTCCCTCCTATACCTTCTGGCCATTTAGCTCTTTATTAAACCAATAAGGAGGTACTTAGGCAAAGACCATCTTTACAATGTAAATATTCCACAACACTTGAGTTCAATTCCCAGCGACCACATGGTGGTTCATAACCATCTATAATGGGATCTGATGTCCTATTGTGGTGTGCAGATGAACATGCAGATAGAGTGTTTATATACATAAATCTTTAAAAAACAAAAATCCTCTGCTGGGATATAGAAACCTAGGGATGGGGCACTTTGTAGTAGGTGGTTTCTTTGCTGCTTTGCAGATGTGAAGGATTACTGTTCAATCTCAAGTTCTTAAGTCTTAGCTCTGAATTTTCAAATAGGAATTTTCCAGAAGGCAAATTTTAGGTAACTTTTCTTATTTTGGCCTTTCTGTTTACCTCACAATTTTCATCTAGATCTCATCTTTAGTCATGGTCATTGTTAGTGTTTAGTGTGCTACATGGATGTGAATTTCTATAAGAATTTATGAACTAAAATCTTATCGTAAACATTTTCAGCCTAGGTGTGATGGCACATACCTACCATCCCAGTGTGAAGGCAAGTGTGAAATCAGCCTAGGCAACTTTGGAGGCCCTGTCTCCAAAGAGAAAAAAGTTGGGGTGATGTTCTGTGCCACAGTGCTTGCCCAGCATAGTAATAGTTTAATGTTTTAGGTAATTTTGACTGGTAGAAGAAAATAAGAATCAGAGAGTAAATGGAGTTAAAGATTCCTGTAGTGGTTCTTTGTAGGAATGAAATTGGAGCCTGAGTGTTTTGTCATTGTTTTATGTCCTGAAATTACATTGCTTGCTTTCAGAGGCCACAGAATTTCTTTTGTTAAACTTAGCATCTGTGCCACACGCTGGCAGGGTCTCCCTTAGGTGCGTGTCAAGCCGTCTTTCACCTTGACTAATTTATTTGGAAGGTGGTTGTGGAGTTACCTCCCTTATTGTCCAATTGAACTAGTACATGGGCCCATTGCCAATTTTGCTAACAAAGAAGAGAGAATGGAGATTATTTTCTAAAAAAGGTTGAGTCCAGATAGGTTATGACTCGAGAAAAGAGTGGTAGAAAGTATATATATGTGCTACATTCTCACTTTAACACGTTTGATTTATGCACTGCATTGTGGTCTTGATTGTGTGTTTCCTTGTAATTGTTCCCCAGTGTTTTCTATATATTTGTCTCTCTCAAGTTAGATTGTAAACTCCTTCAGGAAACTAAGAAATGTAATCATTTAAAGTACTGTTTTTTTCGAGTAATGGTGATAATCATTTTTCTACATACCCTGTGTCACTTTTACATGGTTATTTGAGAATACAGGGGGAGTTGGATAGTGCAGGTATTTCATTAGACCAGAGTGAATGCAATGACAAAGTTAATGGACCTACACTGTTGATAGTTGGAGAGTGTATTTCCTAACTCCATCTATTGATCCATTTTTAGCAGCCCTCCCATAGTACTGTTTAAAAATTAAAACATACTTTTTAAATTTTATTATTGGGGTATGCATACATGTATGTGTGGGGGTCAAGAGGACAACCTTAGAGAGTTGGTTATCTTCAGCATGGGTGCAGGGGTTGAACACAGGTCATCAGGCTTGTGTGGCAAGCACTTTTACCTGCTGATCCATCTCATTAGTCCATGAAGTTTTTGTGTCTGTCAGTCTTTCCAATCTGAAAATCCCTGTATTGTCCTTTGAGCAAATTGACTTGGAATCAGATATGTTGGTTGATGGGCTCACATAATTTGGTTTCCCATCTGGCTCTGTCCTCTAATTAGCCTTATGACCATGAGCAAGTCAACCCACCTTTTCTGAGTCTGCTCAGGTCTAAAGCAGGGGAGGTAAAACTTCACAGGTTTGCCTTGTTCTAGGGCCTGCTTCAGTCAGTTTTCATGGCAAGTCAAAAGAGAAATAAGAATTTAGAGTAGTGGCTGCATTTTGCCCATCTTGTCTTGCCTGTGGTTAAAAAGCCATTTTTGTTACGTTTACCCCAGTGTGGTTTTAGCTTAACACGTTTTTAATTGTAATTATGTGTATGTGCATGTTACGTGTTTGCTTTCACACAGGTACCTGTGCTATGTGGGTCAGGCTTGGCAGCAAGCACCTGCCTGCTAAGTCATCTTGACCAAACCAGTTTTTTTGTTTGTTTGTTTTGTTTTGTTTTGTTTTGTTTGTTTGTTTTTGATCCAGTTCAGGTCCTGTACTTACCCTTTGGAAATATCTAATTCAAAAACATTATGTATTTACAAAACAGTGAGCTTATGGGAACTATTATAATACTAAGTATAAAGCAAGACTGCTGACAGTACAAAGCAAACATAATGGCTTTTAGAGTCAGGTGGCGAGTGTGCTGTCTAGGAACTCTATGTGGGGTGGGAGGAAAAGTAGTGAAAAGGAGCACAATGGCCTTCCTGCTGGCAGTTCTTAGATGTTTCAGGCTAGACTGTCAGTCTTAATTTTAACCAACTGTTGGGAGGCTTAGCCTGATCTAAATTGAGTCAGCAGAAGACTTAGTGGCTGGCTTGGGGCTGGGGATGATGGACTAGCATGGATTAGTATGAGAAAAAGTTTTTGTGTGTGTTTGGGGATTTGGGGAACAGAGCTAAGCAAATCAAAGGTTTCTTACTTGAAAAGAGATGAATATGATGAGAAATGGAGCATTTGTTGGCTATAGCAGAACGTTTTAGGGGAAACCAGAATTTAGGATTAGGAAAGATTTCATCGGAGAATAAGCAGGCTTGAACAAGGTTTTTCTAACATTTTCGTTATTTATGTAAACTAAATACTTGTATCTACAAAACATGTTAAAACTGATTCTCAATTTCATGGTTCCTTAAATAAACAATTCATTACAACTCATAAGATGTTGCTTCAGTGTGCACTAGGCTCTGGGCACTCCAAACAACAACAGTAAGAGATGCGTCTAGTCTTTAGTGACAGTATATTTAGGGAGAATTCATACACAAAATAGAACTAGAAACTTGGGAATCTACAAGTCTTTTTTCCATGCTATGTCAAAAAGACCCTGTGCTTTTTCAACTCTACCAGTTTAGTTACTGTCTTAGGGTTTTTATTGCTATGACAACACCATGACCATGGCAACTCTTAAAAGGAAAACATCTAATTGGGGTGGCTTGCTTATGTTTCAAAGGTGCAGTCCAGTCCATTATCATCATGGCAGGAAGCATGGTGTCATGCAGGCAGGCATGGTGCTGACTACATCTTGATCAGAAGGCAACCAGAATTGTTCTCAGACACTAGGCAGGATCTTGGGTATAGGAACCCTCAAAGCCCACTCCCACAGTGACACACTTCCTCCAACAAGGCCTTACTACCTCAACAAAGCCACCGTAATAGTGCCACTCCCTATGTGCTTATGGGGGCCAATTACATGCAGACTATCACTGTTGCCTAACGGGGTACCAACTGTTTCACTTTGCTTTTCTCTGCTATATTTGCTAATTGTAACCAAATATCTACTTGCACTAAACTCAGACCTGTTACATGTTCTTACCTCTCACTTGCCTCCAAATTAAAGGTTAAAACTTGGGCAGGCTAAGGGTATGATTTAGTGGAGTGCTTTCCTCTCACAAGCAAGGATTGACCCCAGTTCCTGGAGAGGGTAAAAAGGAAGAAAGGAAGGGGAATGACTAAAATCTCAGGCCTTTACAGTTGGGGTGGGGAGAATCTGACTTCCCCACCCTTTTCTCCTACTCCTCCATTCCCATCTTCATAGTTCACATGCCAGAGGATTAGGTCCTACTTACAGGACACAACCCCTGACCACCATTGCTCATGTTCTAGAAATGCACGCCTGCTGTGAGATAGTTTGGAATTTCTCTAGAAATGAACATGGGTTTTTAAAAAGTTATTCTCTAATCTTTGGGGGAAGTACAGTCAAAATCTTTGAATAGGGCCAAAAAGAGAAAAATACACATTTTATTGGGGAAATACAGATGTAAGTCAGAAAAACTGTGAGGGAAGACTTCTCGGGTTTTCGGATTCCCTGTTTGGTCTCTCACAGGCCCTGCTGCCCATCTTTGGGTCCCGAGTCACTTTGAGAACTTTTCAAATCTACTTCCAGGGCTCTGTATAAGCAGTAAGCAGTTAGGAAGGATTTCTGCTGTTCGCATTTCAGTCAACATTTTCTGTACTCTCTAGAAGGGGTCAGTTTATGTGAGAGTTTGATATGTAGATATGTTTGAGTTGGTGTTTGCTATTGTCTACCTAACCCAAAGCTATGAAGTGTGGTGTTTAACTAGCTGATTTATTTGCTGGGAACATAAATACACAAAATTTATAAGATGGAAAAAAAAAACCCTTCTCTGTATCCATTGTCTAGGGTCAGTCATTAATTGTGATGAATTATGAAACAATTTTAATCTGATAATAATTTTTAGACTTTCTTTGACTTTAAGTCTAGATACATTCAAAACACTTAATGGAAATATTTCTTTTTTGGCAGTGTATCCTGAGGGTACAGGCGGGTGTTTGAGGAGTACATGCGGGTTATTAGCCAGCGGTATCCAGACATCCGAATTGAAGGAGAGAATTACCTCCCTCAACCAATTTATAGGTGAGTGAATTTCAGTGACTTGAATACAGTCTTTTAACTTACAAGCTTTGTAAATGGTCTCATTCACCTTTGCTGGATTCATGTGATTTCTTATTTGCTTATAATATACAGAGAATGCTACTTTATAAAGAACAATGAGATGATGACTTTTAAAGAGGTGTTTCCTCATGTAATCCATGTTGGGAAATTAGTCTAAAATTGAGCCCAGGCTGTTTCACCTTCTGAGCATGCATTTTATCACTGAACCTCACCCCACCCCCCAATTTCCTAGGAAAATCAATGATACTAAATTTAATGTAATTAATAACTTGTGTTTTATATCTTGAGAATGTCTTCACATATAGGTTAATTATTAAGTTTCAGAATAGACAAACTGTAGTTACTGATTAATTTTTTCTTTTCTTTTGATAGACATATAGCATCTTTCCTGTCAATCTTCAAACTAGTATTAATAGGTTTAATAATTGTTGGCAAGGATCCTTTTGCTTTTTTTGGCATGCAAGCTCCTAGCATCTGGCAGTGGGGCCAAGAAAATAAGGTATGTGGCTTTGGTGGCTGGGCTTTTAGGTTGTGGTGACTGTGTGTTTGTGTGTGCTTGTGCGTGTGCGTGTGCGTGCCCGTGTGTGCCTGCGTGTGCCCGTGTGCGCGGTGTGGCATACTTTTTAGGTTTGTGGGTTTTTTTGTTTTGTTTTTTAACTTGGAAACACAGGGACAACTTTATTAGCATTCAAAAGAGAAAGAAACTGTAAAGCCTCAGCAGCTGCCTGGAGGAGAGAAAGAAAAAGCCATGGCATTTAAGCTGGCATAGCATTCAGACCCAGGGTTGGTGGGCAGCCATATGATAGAGATGGACGCTTTAGAGAAAGTAAGGAAGCACAGCTTCCTTAGGATATGCTTAGGATAGAGAAAGAAGAGAAAAGAGAAGTTATGTCTTTCTCAGTGTTGGGCTTTTCTTAGTTATTCAGTCAGGTGGACAGGCTTATTGCTCCATGCATGGCTGCAGCCTCTAAACTTTTAATGATTAGTCTTATTTTATCTTTTTACTTAAAATCTTTTTTTTTTTCCTGAGTCACTTACCATCATTGGAAATGGATCTAATTTTACCTCTTGAATGGGAGTGTTTTAGATGCTTTCGTCATGAAGCAGAGCTCTCTGGGGAGTGCTCTAGCTTTGCCCTTTAGTTCTAGACTCAGTGCCTTTAGACTCCTATTTGGTGGTTCTTCTAGAATAGGCATTTGTTAGCATAAACATCCTTAGGTGTCTCTAGGAGACAAACGTCTCTGCCCCATTGTTAATCAGACATGAGTTTGCAGTTCAGGTCTTATGTGTTCTGTGTGGCTCACTTATGTATAGCAACGTAGGTATAGTGCCATTTTTGGCTGATCATGGAAGAGCCAAGAGATAGAGATACAGTTTGTGTGACATTTCCTTCTGTGTTCCTATAAAAAGCTGTGACATCAAACATCACCTGGCCCAAATAGAATAGGCAGGCAAGCTCTTTCTTTCTCTTATAGATATTTACTTTTTGAAACAATGTGTTATGAATTTATATCTTTACCATATCCAACTTTTGTCCAGTAATTTTACTAAATTAAAGCAGTTGTAGTCTCTTTTTGAAGATGATTGATTTACCTTTGAAAGGGTGAATGCATGTGTTTCTATATGCTAGGACAGTCTAAACCTACAGATGGTTTTAACATGATTTTTTAAAAAAACTTAAGTTGGTTTATGTAATATACATAAAGTTGCTGGTGGTTGCATCACTATTCTCTTGTGAAGACATTTTACATTATAACATTGGTAAAGTGAACCATTTTAAAGTTGGTGTTCTTTTTTATTTAACTTCAGTTGTTGAGGTGTTTTAGAAATTCTGTATATAATATGAATGATGTATGTAGGTTCTTTAAAATGTAAAGAGCTGTGAATTTTTCCTGGTGTGTAGATGATTTGTGAGATGACATTTTGTATGGACACTTTTAAATTATATTAAAAGAAAGTACTATCAAATTAAAGTTGAAACTGTGTATTAAAAATGAATGTGTCTTATGTTTTGTGCTGTTTGACTTCTAGGTTTATGCATGTATGATGGTTTTCTTCTTGAGCAACATGATTGAGAACCAGTGTATGTCAACAGGTGCATTTGAGATAACCTTAAATGGTAGGTTCTGACTAGTGTGCATTTGTGAGGAGTTAACATACTTAATAACAAACAGGCTTTTTATTTTTCATGAGAAACTTCTTTAATGTTCATGTAAGAGTTTGTATTATAGAGATTGGAAGTTCAGGAGAAGAATTTTAATTGCTACTTGAGGTTCTAGAACTTCTAGATGATCTGGCTCCCATGTGTTTACTGTCTAATACTCTGCTCCATAGCTTTAAAGTAAAACCTGGATGATGATTCCTGAGTGCCTAACCGTAGGGTACTGGAGACCTGTTTTGAGTGCTTTACTTGGGAATCTTTAACATAACCTGCTTCACAATAAGCTCTTAGCTACTCCCTCTGGTTCTTATGTGCTGCTTTAATTCTCCTCTTGGATCTTATTGTTCATTTAATCGTTCCATTATTTGTCCTCCTACTTTGCCCAGAAACCTTGGGTAGCCTTCCATTAAACCCTCCACTCCAAAGTTACCAGGACTTCTCAATTCTGTCTCCTACATTGCTTACAAATCTACTTCTGCTATAATATTCCCTGCTGACACCCTAATCTGTGTTACATGGCTTCCATTTTCTGAACAGTAGATTGGCGAATATACCTTCAACAGTGGTTTTTGCTTTTTTGTTCCATTTTGTTTTTATAAGACAGTGTTTCTCTGTGTAACAGGCCTGGCGGTTGTGAACTCACTTTGTAAACGAGGCTGACTTTGAACTCACAGAGATCTGCTTGCCTTTGCCTCCTGAGTGCTGGGATTAAATTAAAGGCTTGTACCACCACTGCCTGCCTGGCTTGGATTCTTTTGTTTGCTTGGTTGTTTTGTTTGCTTGTTTTTTTGTTGTTGTTTTGTTTTGTTTGCAGTGACTTTCTTAATGAAGATTTCCTTGTGTCCTTGAGTGTCTAAAATTCCTTAAGTTCTTTTTCTAGTTCTATCCATTGCCTACAATTTTTTTTTTTAACCACTAAGTAATACTCCATTGTGTAAATGTACTACATTCTTTGTTGTTTCCATCCATCTAGGCTGTTTCCAAGTTCTGGCTATTACAAATAATGTTACTATGAACATAGTTGAACAAATGTCCTTGTGGTATGAATGTGGTTGGTATATGCCCAAGAGTGGTGTTGCTGGGTCTTGAGGTAGATTGATTCCCAATTTTCTGAGAAACCGCTACACTGATTTCCAAAGTTATGCCTAATTTTAAACTATATTCCCATTGCTGCCTTCAAGTTGCTGTGTGAGTTGAATGACTGTGACAGGTACTCTTCCCTAGGCAAAATGTTTAATTCCTGGTTTGTTATAGTTTGTTACCCCAATGTTTCTATGCCTCTTCAGTCTCTCTTGCAATACTTCCTGATATAGCTTGTGCAGGCCCACTCTCTTTTCTGGCCTATTTATTTATTTATTTATTTATTTATTTATTTATTTATTTTGCTTTTTCGAGACAGGGTTTCTTTGTAGACCACACTGGCCTCGAACTCATAGAGATCCACCTGCCTCTGCCTCCCGAGTGCTGGGATTCTTTTTACCTCAAAAGTTTTTTTACTTCCACGAGCATTTACTCTAGTTTAATGGCTTACCTTTATGTTTTTAGATCTAGTTTAACTGATGTGCTTTCCTGGCCAGTCAGCAAGAGAGGCTGGTGTTTACATTCCTCATAACACTGTAGCACTCTGGTTTTAATCTTAGTAAATAAATATAATTTTGTGGTGACTTTTGAAGTGCCCAATGGTTCCTTTGCTGCAGTGAAAACTCCCTAAGAGGAAGAAGCAGTCACTTCTGTATCCCTAATTGTGTATGAAACTCAATAAATATTTGTGGGGTCAATGTCTATTGTGGAATCATCTTTAATGTGTTTTTGGGGTGGGGTGATGACTGTTTATTTTTGTAGATGTGCCGGTCTGGTCTAAGCTGGAATCTGGTCATCTTCCATCCATGCAACAACTTGTTCAAATTCTTGACAATGAAATGAAACTCAATGTGCATATGGATTCAATCCCACATCATCGATCATAGCCCTACCTATTGGCACTGAAAACTATTTTGTAAGTAGTTAAAAAAATACAGTAGCTATTCTTGGGTTTCCATTGATTCTTATCACAAATGCTAGTACATGCTACATATATTATCACTTCAATTTCCCACTTAAGATGAAACAGTTGGATATGTCTTTCAAACTCTGAACTCCTAGAAGCCAGAATTGACATTTTATTATAGTTTGTAATTGCATAGCTTCTCCTTATTTTCAAATAATTAGTTACTAAATATGCATTATTTTTAACATACTTAAAATAGAACATTTAGAAATAGAACAATAGAAATAGAAATTGTGTAAATGTGAAGAGACTTGGTTAGCTCTTACTTGCTTAGTAGTAATATCAGTCTCTGTTCCTTTCTGATCAGTGAGTTAGCTTCCCAAGGGTTGGTATAAGAGTGACTACTAAAATACACTATTCTTTTTTTCTGTTTGTTTCAGACACTAAGGGATTTTGCAAGAGCAGCGTGACTGACATTATGAAGGCCTGTACTGAAGACAGCAAGCTGTTAGTACAGACCAGATGTTTCTTGGCAGGCTCGTTGTACCTCTTGGAAAACCTCAGTGCAAGATAGTTTTTCCATTGTTGGCACATGCTGAATTCTGCACATACATGGAGTGCAATGCAATGATACTGTGTAGCTTCCCCGAGCCCACTGTTAATAGTTTCTTCTTGGCGTGGCATTACTACTTGTAACTCTTTTTTTGGTCAAGTTTGAGAAAGTTCAGAATTGAATTACAACTTGAGTTTTTTTCAAGATGTGTGTTAAGCTTGTTGTGTTTTTATATGAATTTTCATTTTTTTACAGTTTAATGTTAGTTTTCTTGGAAACACCTGAAGTTCCCAAATAATTTATAAAAGTTTATCAGATAGCTCTAATTTGGTTTTGCTTAATATATAGTTTTCAGAACACTGCAGATTGTGAACAGTAAATTATACAGGATTATGGGGGGAAATCCAATATCCAGAGTACTCTACTGTGTGTGTGTGTGTGTGTGTGTGTGTGTGTGTGTGTGTGAGACAGAGAGAGACAGAGAGAGACAGAGAGAGGGAGACAGACACAGAGAGAGAGACAGAGAGACAGAGAGAGAGAGAGAGATTATCAGGAACAAAAACAACTGCTTTTAGAATCCTATTGTGTAGTTCAAATGTCTTGCCTTGACCAATCTAATGAATTGATTAATGGGCCTTTATACTAAATAATAAAAAACTGAGCAGATGAAAGTTTATTGCTCAGTGTACCTGTTATCATTATTTTTAATAACTATCTGCCTCATGTTTTGTTTGTGACTTACAGATACTCTCATAAAGGACACACTTTAGATTCACACACAAACAATGAGCTAACTTACTGTTTAAAACAGTAACTGTTTTTAAAACAGTTGAAACTCACCTCACTAAAGAAAAATTCAATGAAACCTCTTTATAAAGTATGTATTATGTAAATGGAAATCACTCGTCTAGTAATTGAATTATCTTAACATCCTATATCAGAATTTTATTGTGTTTGGAAGACAAAATTAAAAATATTTTCATTGTTTTCATATTGTTCCAGAGTTCTAAAAAGAAACTTAGAGTTGATAAAGATAATAAGAATGATTTAGCAGAACTAGAAACATAATGTTGAATAACAGTTACAAAGCGGCCATTGTAACAGACAGGGATTAAGTGGAAGAGCCAACTGTAACCCTGGATTTGTGAGTGAAAGTTAAAGAGCTTAAGGGAAGGATATTGGTGCCACCTAACTCTTAGATGTTAAGAGCAGCTTGACTACTGGACATACCTTGAGTGCATTCGGGCCATGCCTCTTAGTATGACAGCTTAAAGTGGAATCTACTGTGATCTTCAGATAACAGAAAGATAGTCTGGTGATGAACTGAAGAAAAGTGATGCAATGTTACCTTTTGATTAGGATTGCAGCACTGCTAGTCCAGGTTCTTCTGGTGATAGATATTGTCATTTAAACTCGAGTTCCTTAGAGCTTATTATTTATGTGTAAATATATATATATATATATATATATATATATATATATATACTTGTAAAGTTTAGCATCAGAGGGGCCTTTCTTCAAGTAATGGACATTCCATTTGTGACACAATTAGCTTTATGGCATGTAGACATTCAGAATTTGGGCCATGGATGTTCATGTGTACTTGGCAGGTCAAACTATGAAGAACCTAAAGTCAAATCCAACTTTCTCCATGTTTGCCTTAGATTGATTTTGTCTCCTAGATAATAGCTTTAACTGTCTTAGACATCTAGTAAAATTCAGCTGTTTTATCCACACTCGTCTGTTGTCATATTTAAATCCAGAATATAATATTCTACTAAAGAGATAAATGAGATGCATGGATATAAAAATTATAAGGTAAAGGAGAAAGTAAACTATTTATAACTTTATTACTAACAATTTAAAATTTATTAGTTGCATATAAATTGGTATAGCCATATAGCTACAAAATGTCTGTGCTCTATAAATCAGAGAACTGAGGACTTGTCAATAGGCTAGCTAATTTTACTGGAGTTTTCAACACAGTTGCCATTGTGGAAGGTTTTTGCATTAATGAAAAAGTTGGTAAACATGGCGTTAGGCCTCAGTGTGTAAGATGTACAGGAACACCTGCTTTCTGAATGTGAGTAGCATTGGTTATGGCACTAGCATTAGTGACAGTTGCTCAGCCTGAACAGCTGTGAAATGTGATGAGATCCCGTGATGGTTCATTCTTTCCTTAAAGGTTTATTAGTTTGGAATTTTGATTGACTGGCACATTCTATCATTGTCCTAACTTAAAATAATTCAGTTAAAAGTTTTTTTAAAACATGATTTGATATTTGAGGGCTTTTCTTTAAAAAAAACAAAAAACAAAAAAAAAACAAACCAAGAAGCAAGTAAAGAATTGTAAGCATTTGGGACTTCTTTGTGGCATTGTGAAAATAAATAAGCCAACATGAAAGGAACCCTGCTTTGTGTTATTAATTCTGTACTAATATATTTAATGTTAAAAGTTGTCATCCATTTCTAATGGCTTTTTGTTTTGTTTTTCGAAGCAGTGTTTCTCTGTGTAAACCTGGTTGTCCTGGAACTCACTCTGTAGACTACACTGGCCTCAAACTCAGAGATCCATCTGCCTCTTCCTCCCAAGTGCTGGGATTAAAGGCATTTTCCACCACCAACTGGCCTCTAATGGCTTCTTAAGGCAGCTGGTTTTTGTCCCCTATCTGTGACTGGCACTACGTCTTACCTTAAAACTGCTTGCCTGCTTTCTTTTTTTTTCTGGTTTTTCGAGACAGGGTTTCTCTGTCTTTGGAGGCTGTCCTGGGCCTAGCTCTTGTAGACCAGGCTAGCCTCAAACTCACAGAGATCCACCTGCCTCAGCCTCCCGAGTGCTGGGATTAAAGGCATGTGCCACCACTGCCTGGCTAAAACTGCTTTTTTTTTTTTTTTTTTTTAAGATTTTATTTATTTATTATGTATCCAACATTCTGCTTCCATGTATATCTGCACACCAGAAGAGGGCACCATATCTCATTACAGATGGTTGTAAGCCACCATGTGGTTGCTGGGAATTGTACTCAGGACCTGTGGAAGAGCAGTCAGTGCTCTTAACCTCTGAGCCATCTCGCCAGCCCCTAAAACTGCTTTCTTAAGCCTTATAATTTACATGTACAGTTCTGAACCATCCACAGCTCTGTGATTTATTCTGGGCTGGAGTATAAAGGAAATTGCATACATTTGTCCATCTTTTACCTATCTTCCAGTTTTCCTGAGAAATTTACATTTTAACATCTCCAAATCTAAGGAGGGAAAACACCCACTTTTCTGTTGTAACCAGCAAGTCAATTTAGAAGAAAATAAAGATCACTTTGTTTTTAATACTTAACTTACCTAGAAATGGAAGATACCTGGCTTTCCCACCGTTTTCAAAAAATGGAAATAGGTATTTATTTACAGACTAACCAGACCCAACTTTAAAACTGTTTTGGAGAACACAAAGTAAGCAGTTTCAGATTTAGTGAAGACCAGAAGCTTTGTGTTCTCTCCCAAAGCCAGCAGGAAGGGTTTTTGCTCTGCTCTGCTCTGCTCTGCTAAGCATGAGCCAAGTGAAACACAGTGGGTTAACTGCAGTGTGCTCCCCACACTGCCCTTTCAGTTTCTGCCTAAGCATGACTAGGGCAGATGCCTGGATGCTTATCTCTGGAGATACCGATTCCCCTGCTCAGAAATGAGCCCAGGAATTTGTATTTACATGCATGCATACATACATATATATATATATATATATATATATATATATATATATATAAATTAGAAACAATCTTATTTTATGTATCAATCCCAGTTCCCTCTCCCTCCCATCCTTCCATGCCCCCATCCACTCCTCAGGAAGGGCGAGGCCTTCCATGAGGAATCATCAAAATCTGTCAAGTCATTTGGGGCAGGGCCTAGGTTCTCCCCTGTGTATCTAGACGAATCTGCATTTCTTAATAAGCTTCAAGATAATGTTCATAATCAGTCTGAGCTGTACACTGAACAACATTGTACTCCAGGCTCATGATTTACCCCAGAAGAAAAACGGGGAAAATTGCCTGCTTTCTCAGAAGCACTTAAGTAATTTGGTAAAAAAACGGCAACTTAGATAAACAGAGTGACAAGTTTGTTTCTAAAGAAAAGTTTTCCCAATTAAAATTTTGACTGCTATATATCCTTTCCTGTGGGTTCATATTTAAGAGCTTTCTGGATAAAGAATACAAATCTTTTTGGATGGGTCCATATAAACTGACAACATGACTGTTTCATGGTACAGTTAAAAGGACAGTCTTTATTGTAGATATAAGAGAACACCCAGAGGTATCTGGAAGATTCCAGAGCAGAGAGAGAAAGAAAGAGACTGAATGTATGCAGGGGTGTCTGCCAGAGGGAGAATAGCAAAGCATTGAGGATAGAGAAAACATGGGTGAGAGAAGCAGCAAAGAGAGAACAGTGAGAAGAGAGGGTTATCAGGAGAAGGGTGCCCTGGAGCTGGAGGGAGTTGAGGATGGAGGAGGAGGAAGTGACTTCTCAATGGAGACTTAAAAACCCAGAGGGTCCTGGACAGATATCCTGCATACTCTTAAAGAGACCGAAAATGCCAGCCCAGACTAGTATGCCCAGGAAAACTTCTAATCATCATAGATGGAGAAAAAGCATAAGACTAAATTTAAGCAATGTCTATCTACAAATCCAGTCCTATAGAAGATGCTAGAAAGTAAACTCCAACCCCAACCTAATGAGGTTAACTTCCTACATTTCCTGTTTATTTCTTACTGGATATTCACTCCTTTATTTGTTTTTGGTCTGCTACTTCTTTATCTTTTTTTTTTTTTTTTTTTTTTTTTTTTTTTAACAACCTTTTTTTTTTTTTCTTTTCATAGCCCATGGCAGGCCCTTGAAATTACATCTCTGCCTTCCAAGTGCTGGATTAAACATGTGCCACCATGCCTAGCCTAGCCTCTCTTTTGGCTATGCCTCTTCCTAGGCACATTCCTAGATGAGATATTTCTGTGGCTATGGCTTCTGGTTATGAGCTTCTCAAATCAAACACTCAGTTGTTTCTCTATCCAGCTGAGGGTTGTCTAGCACTTGTTGGAGTCATCACTTAAGTGCTTGGTTAAAAAAGATTGGAGCCTCCTGGGCAAGTTGCTACTGACACTCCCTAGGGCCATCTGCTGGACTGTGCTCTGTGTCCTAGTAACGCTTAGAGAATAAAAAACAATTGCAGGTTCTTTGTTTATCATTCTTAAATTGCTAAGAGCAAGTCTGTAGGAAACTGACAGTTTTACCTTCCTCTCATGTATAAACAGTATTAGAAAGTGCTGCTAGATTGTATCTTTTAGTAGCTCATAAAATCTAGAGGTACCAGATTGTTTTTAAGATACTAAATGAGGCTAGGGAGACAGATGACTCATCTAACCACTGATGTAGAAGACTCAAGTTCATTTCCTAGCACCAACATGGTGGTTCACAACCATCTGTAACTCCAGTCCCAGGGCATCCCAGGCTTTCTCACCTCCAAAGACGCCATAAACTCAATGTAGTACACTGCATGCTGGCAAAACATTCACATAAAATGAAAATCTTAAAGATAGGAATATATATATATGTAAATAATATGTAACCCTAACTTAAGATTTAACACTAACTCTAGCCTGACTGCAGTGCTAACACCAAACATTATCTGAGACTTAACACTACTCTTGACCTTCCCCCACACTTAGCCCCAGCTCTAACCTTAACCAAGACGGTAACTCGGGTTCTTGCATTAGCCCTATCCCAGATCCTTAATCCTAGGACTGACCCTAATTGGAGTTCTAGATCGAGTAGCCTTTGACCTATTCCTAACTCTAACTCTAATCCTAACCCTAGGAATAAAGTTAATCCTATCCTAATCCGTGACCCTGACTAGCCCTAACCCTAACACTAGGGTAGTTATGCTCTAGTGTTAACATCTCCTATATTTTCCTCAGTGACATTTCAATTCTGTTCCCTCTTCCATTCTACAGATTGACAGGCCCTAGCACCAGTACCTAATATTTTACTTTTAATTTGTTAAAATTTGCCTTTTAACAAAATTTGATCTGTGTGTGTGTGTGTGTGTGTGTGTGTGTGTGTGTGTGTGTGTGTGTGTGTAGATAGGGACAATGCACAGTCCACAGGAGTCAGTTCTTTGCTTCTACTTTCTGGGTACTGGGGATTGAACTCAGGTCATCAGACTTGGCAGCAATGCCTTACCAGCTGAGCCATCTTGCAGGCTCTATCATGTTGTTTTAATCAAGTATGTGCCACTAATAATGTTAACTCAAAACAGTTGTTTACTTTCTTCTTTATACATAGGACCTTAAGGTCATAGGAAGTGAAGTAATAGATTTTTGGGCATAAAACATCATAGTCCAACTTGGAGGAAGAAAGATGAAAGCATATATTCAAAAAGAAAAAAAAATATCACCATGTCTCCAATTTAAAGCAGATTTGGTAAAAAGTGCTTCTTTCAAAGGTTTGGTGGCCTGAACTCCAATCCCTGGAGCTTACTTAAAAGTAACAGATATCACAGTGTTGTCTCTGACCTCCACAGGCGTGCTATGGCCCTGGCACCTACATATATGCACACACACACACACACACACACACACACACACACACACAATCATGCACACACAATAATAAAGTTTATATCTATTTTAAGTGGGTAATGTATTTATAGTCTAATGGATTCACTTTTGAATGCAATACTTTATTTTAAAATAAAGACTGACGGTACATTAGGAATTATATTTTTTTAGGATTGTTTAAATTTAGGATGACTCAAGGCTACCAACTGAAAGCATTCGTACACATTTCTAAGGACAGGAAAGGGAAGCCCGAAGGTAGCAGGTTTGGACAAACTGCTTTTGTTCTCTCTGGACGGCAAAGAGTCATTTACTAGAATGCAGTTTGTTTTCAACTGTCTTTATTTTCCTAAGGTATTGTAATGAGAAGAGACAATGAAACTGATCCACACTTAATAATTTCATCTAAGAGTGACGAGGCCAGCAAAAGCATAACTGTGCTTATGGATATTGCATTGCTATCTGTAGCACTGGCTAGCATCTGTTGCTAGAGAGAAAATGAATGTGGATGAGTTGCTTCTAATAGTATTAATACTCACTCATATGCTTTTAATCCTAATAACTAGCTATTCCATTCTGATATCACATACATTAGCGTTTCTGTTAATCCTCAAAAGAGAGGTGCATCCATTCCATGATGTGTTGGGGACTGTGTCTGCTTTCACCACTGAGCACTGTGCAGCCAAGTCTGTAGTCCCTCACAGTCACTCGTTTAGTTATAGTTATGTTTCATATAGTAAAACTCTTAACTCTGGGGCTGTTGTTGGGTAGTCACCAGAGAAGACTGCTTGAGCATGGGTTTAGGTCATTAGAAAGTCTTTATTAGC